CTCAAGTGCTCGAATGCCCCCTTTAAAAATGTCCAATGTTATTTAGGAGCCTGATAAAAATGCTCATGTAAAAGAAAAATCTCAAATGGACTTAGAGGTTATATAGATCACAAAGATTGATCCAAACTAGGGCTGCACGATAAATCGCATGCAATATTTAATGCGCAATCGCATGCGATTTATCGTGCAGCCCTAATCCAAACCTAGCATATCTACTCAAGATAAGTATAAAATCACACAGCAGAAGCTCTGGGTCCTCACAGGAAATCACCCTTTGCAATCCCAGCATGCTCCTGTCATTGGAGCACGCACCCTGCCCACTGCTCCGGGTGCGTGTTCACGGTGTGTGTGTGTTCACTGCTGTGTGTGTGCACTTAGGATGGGTTAAATGCAGAGCACTAATTCCTAGTATGGGTAACCATACTTGGCCACATGTCACGTCATGTCACGTCATTGAGACAAAAGCAGTTCAGCCAACAACATCCTCACAACACAGATCAAACATCAAAACCAACAAGCCATCTTATCTAAATGATTGCAGGAGCTTAAACTGCATGTTGTACGTCATTAGACTGATAAGAGAAGCGCTTCACCTCAATAACAAATTCAATAATTCAATAACAAAACCACTATTGCTCCCCAAAGTTGTCAAATACGCACTGCACTTTCACAGAAACACAACAACAGGGAAACAACAGAAATAGCAAATGTACAAAGTGCATGTTATTCTAGATAAAACAAATGCTTGCTTTTGTATATTTTCATCAAAATGGCATCACCCACAGTATAATTAATACTAATTAAGAGTCAGAGTCATTTACACTCAAAAAATTAATCATGGCATAATTTAAATATTTGCATTTTTGCATTTGATTTTAAATAATCATATTTTCAAAATGAATGTAAGCAAATCATAAATTGTGCAACATAAATTGTGAAAATTAAATTTAATCAATTAAAAAAAGTATGAACATTGTTAAAATATTGCTAGCTGTGAAGCAAGCAAGATTCAATTAGTTAAAAAATTAGACTGAAACAAACTGGATTTATTGATGATAAATACATAAACCAGTTTATTGTGCATTTAAAACAAATTGATTTTATTAATACATAAATCAAATTTTACTTGACTCCTTTCATTTATGTATGACTAACAAAAATAGTTTTTAGTTAACTAAATTAAAAAGAAAATATAAAAAAATAAACTCATGTTATTTCAGCTAGTTCTCACAGAAATTACTTTAACTTGAAGTTGTAAAATAAACAAAAACTGCAATAAAAATATGTAAAAGTTTACTATAAAATGACAAAAACTATAAACATTTAAATGAAATATAAAATAACAAAAACACAACAAAATTACTAAAACGTCAAAATGTAAAACATAAAAATAAAAACAATAATATGTAAATGACACTAATAAAACTGCTAACAAATATGCATTATATTAAGATTATTAGTCTGTTAAATACATAAATCTTAAATTTAGGCCCAAATATTGCTGGAATAACCGATTGCTAGAACAATCAAGTTATAGGCAAAAATCCATTCCGTTCAGTAATTTTCATGAGTCTGCACTGTTTTTTATTTGTTTTATTATTATTATTTTGTAACAAAGGTCATCACTATTTTATTTAGAGGGTTATGTTTGCTTTCATTCAGTATCCATTTTAAAAAGGATAAATCAGTTAATTAATCGGTTATCGGGCAGTGCGGTCCAGCATTGAAAAAATCCAGTCGACCTGTAGTTGTGATGTTGAATTAATACTTTAATTGATTCTCCTTAAAAAACAACCTCAATGTTCGTGAAACACGAAACCCTCCATCACCAATTCCACAAAGCCACAAGCTTACGATACATATTTATGATTCTATACCGCTGGCCTTTGGGAGACAGATAAAGTCTTTTATCCAATTTTTATCCACTTTATTATGAATTCTTGCACAAAGAGGATCTGCGCTGCAGCAGGTGATGCTGTCAGATTCACTTTAGAGATCTGGAGGAGAGCGCAGTGGCTTTTCAATGGCTCCGAAAGAAAGCAGATGGTCCAGGAGACTTCTGGGAAAAAGAAGAAAAGAGCCGCATTCTTCCCTCGGACCGGCTATGAATACAGACCACTCGAATAGGCTTTTCAACAGCTGATGGTGTAGATATCAATGTATCTATCGAGCGGAACGGCAGGAACATTCACATATTATTCACATTTCATTGAACTATAATTCTGCATTTTATGAAGAAAAGATGCTGGGAGTGGTTGCTATGCAGTTGCTAGGGCATTATTGATGTCTTAGAGGATCAGGGAGGTCTTTAGCATGTTACTATGTGGTTGCTAAGGTGTTCTGGATGATTGCTAGGGCGTTAGCCCATCCTAGGTCTCTAGAAATGGCTCGGGTCCCACCTTCATGTGCATGTGATTTTTTTACACACCACATAAAAAATGCAATTCCATTCACTTAGAAAAACAGTATGTTATATAAAAAAAAAAGTATGAACATTGTTCAAATTTAACTAGCTGTGAAGCAAGCAAGATTCAATTAGTTAAAAAATTAGATTGAAACAAACTGGATTTATTGATGATAAATACATAAACCAGTTTATTGTGCATCTAAAACAAATTGATTGTATTAATACTATTACATTAATCTAATTTTACTTGACTTTTTAAATTTATGTATGACTACCAAAAAGAGTTATTATTGTTAACTAATTAAAAATAAAAATGAAATATAAAAAATTTAAAATAAAAAAATATATAATTTTCTTAATAAATATTTAAAAATTAAATTAAATATTTCAGCTAGTTCTCAAGAAATAATTTCTCATTTTCTATTACTTTAACTTGAAGTAATAAAATAAACTAAAACTGCAATAAAAAATATTTTATTATAATTATTATAGTTTATCATAGTTGCTTAGAAAAATAGCATTATAGTTTACTAAAACTAAAAACATGAAAAATTAATTACTTGAAATAAAATAAATATAAATAAAATAATGCTAACCAAAATAAAATCAAATACAAGGAAAAAACTTATTGCATTTCAGATGCCAAGTCAACATTTCTCATATTTATTTAAACTTGATCAACTAAAATAACTCTAAATAACTAATAACTCTAAACAAATAACTCTAAATAATAAAAAATATTAAATTACATGGACATATTTTGTAAAACTAATAAAACATTATTTTAACTAAAATTAAAGTGAAACGGGAAATTAAAAATAATAATTCAAATATATTAGTGAAAACTACAATAGTATATCAAATAAAATTAAAAACAGAAAAGAAAAAAAAAAAAAAACAACACTGCAGCTTAACTTAACAAGACATATGATTTGAGGTACAATTAATGCACGTTAACAACTTGCACGCCAAAATGTAGCATTATTAAAGATGGAAAGTGTGAAAAACTGAAATAAAATTAGAATGAAAAACAAAATTATACACAATATTTTGTCCAAAAATAAATAATCACAAATCATTGGAAATCAGAAAACATATCTTTATGTATGCATTAAACTGTTGCTAGATTTTGTAGGTTATCAAGAGGTTTACTGACTGATGCAGATCTTAAAATGATGATCTGATTTGTAAAATGCCCCGCGACTAAAAATAGTTTTCAAAAGAAAACCCACCACTTCAGGTCGACTTTGCACCGCAGACTTATTTAACTATTGCGCGGAGTCCTGATTGACTGATGATCCGATCTGCTTGATCAGATCACGGTGATCGCATGCTAATGCCAAGTGTAAACCCAGCATTAGTCTATCACTAATTCAGTTCCTAAATATAATATAATAAAATGCTGACTGAATTACAGGCTCTGCAATCCTTAAAAATGAATTAAGCAATCGGCTGATTTGAATAACCAGCTAAAAGCATTAAGCCAAGTAAACCAAACGAAACCAAAAAACTGTAAAAGCCCTGCACACTGAAAACAAACGAAATGAAACTATGGGTGATCCGTTTCTCCACAACTCATGTGTCACGTCTGGATAGAGACTGATTGTGGATCGCCTCAGGAAACCAAAAATCAATTTAAGCGAGACTGACAGTGTTTACTGGCCCACCTCGAGGCATTTCTCAATACCAACACCCACAGAACAGGAGCTCAGCACTTTTATAGGCCTTATCTTGATATTAAAACACCGTCAGGAGTCTGACTGTCAACAAACGGCCCTCAGGGCATCATGGAGAGCAGGGTGTGCCTCCAACCGCCTGTATACATTTCACAAACCAAAGAAACAAAGAGTCAGGTAACAGAAGGAGCCGCTATCCATTTGTCCGCTGCTTTTCCTTCAGCTCGGGTTATATTTACCTGCTGAGCGGCTGGTAGATGCAAACAGGCAGGGATTTGGAGGAATTTCTTTTTCTTTTTCACTTACCCAACATGCCTGAGGAGCTTATGGCTCCCTTGGTGGCGATCAATGAGAGCATTTTCTCATTAGTGAACAAGACCGAGCTTTTCAACATCATTAGCATTCCCCAGGGAGCTTAAGTGACGAAACAGGAGGGCAAGTGAACACAAAAGAGACTAAACTTGAGGTGGAAAGCAGCAGATGCTTTAGTATGTACTTGCTGGCCTGCTGAGGTACACAGCGAGATCAAAACACTTATGAAATGCAGGGTTTTCCACACAATTAAACCTGAGCTATGATCAAAATGGAAAATTAGCCTACTGTTTTAGCAAAAAATAATATGAATTGGTATGCATTATGCAATGATAAGCAAATTCAAACGGTAGTATGCGACACTGTTGTTACATAACCTCAGTGTCCACTGCTAATGTAAATAAAAAAATTCAAATGCAAAGCAATAAAACAAAATGCAACGCAATAAAAATGAATTGTAATCAAATCCAATAAAACAAAATACAATGCAATTTAATAAAATGAAATGCAATGCAATTCAATGCATCAAAATGCAATGAAATGAAAAGCTATTCAATGCAATAAAATTAAATTAAATAAACATTAGAAAGCAAACAGTGCCTTACCGAGACCTCAAAGACTTCCTGAGTGTCATCCAACATCTGGACCCGGATGGAGACCCGTCTGCCGGGGGGCATGGTGGGAGGCCGCTGGCCGGGCTCCAGCGTGCTGATGCCCATGCTCTCGGGGGCTCCCAGCCTCTGGCCCGCCACCGAGGGCCGCTCCTCTGGCTCCACCATACTGCTCAAACCCACCTGACAACAGAAACCATTTAAATGTTTATATGAGGGCCAAATGTTTTGCAAACACTTCATTGATACGGAATAATCCACCCCTAAACACAGACTCCATGTATAACTACAGTACTTTTCTATTAAGCTGGTCTAGTGATCGCACTAAACACTAGAGCCCGACCGATATATCGTTTTGCAGATATTATCGGCCGATATATCGGTATCGTCGAATATGCCACCGTTATGCCGCCGATATTAAAAATTTTTTACAGAACATATAACGCACATAAAATGCTTGAAATGGTGTAATTACTTAGTTTGTCCAGCAGAGCGCGCTCCATTGTTTGCTACTGGCGACCTGGATGAAACGCTTTAAAGCTTAAGTCTATGGAAAACCATTAAAACTTTGAACGGCCATATCTCCATAACGGCACGGCGAATCCGCACCAAATTCGGGGGATGCCTTCAGCTCGAGGAACCCTCTCGAACAGGAATCGAGTGTATGTCTAGAGGCCCGCTTTCGAATGAGACCAACCCCGCGTGGATAGCCCCCAGGGTTCGGGTTAGGTAATTCAAAGTCACTGTAATAAACATATGTAAACATCTGGACTGCACTAAACACTGTCTTTAACTTTAGACCAGTGGTTCTCAAATTTTTGTGGTCGCACCCCCCTTTAAACCTATAAAAAAAATCTGCCCCCTTTCCCGAATCCCCATTCCACCTCAGACTACCAAATAATTTCATTAAACATTATGAAAAATTAATGCTTGACACACGAATGGGAAAGTGTCCAAACTTTTGACTGGTACTGTACTATAATATACACAAAAATATCGGCCGATATATCGGTACCGGCCTTTTTTTACTCCCTAATATCGGTATCGGCCCCAAAAAAAACATATCTGTCGGGCTCTAATATCCGATATATCAATATCTTTTTTTTTTACTCCCTAATATTGGTATCGGTCCCAAAAAACCCATATCGGTCGGGCTCTACTAAACACTAACATAGTTTTCCTTTTTTGCAGCTGGAATTTTAATCTCGCGCTGCCCTGGAAAATGCCAAGGAGCACGGAATGATTTATGATTCTTGAAATGTGTATTTCTGCAGTAAACAACTTGTGCTGCTATAGCAGTTTCTCACACAAGTCTTGATTTTAACTCTTGTTCTGCCTGACTGAGAGTTATCCCAACAAACACAACTGTTAGTTATGACCAGCTCAAAACAACCACCACCAATGGGAAAAAAGTCAACTATACAAATGAACCTGGCGGCAACAGGTAAGGTAAATTTGTGTTTCCCAGACATACTTGTGATTTTAATCTCATCTGAATCTGTTTTTCCTCATTCAACCTTGCTGAAAAATCTGTACAGATGCAATGTAATAACATAGAACAACATGAAATTCAAAGCAATGCAACAAAATGCAGTTCAATGCAATGTAGTAAACTTAAACAACATGATGCATTTCAATTAAATAAAATGCAATGCAATTCAATGTAATAAAATGTCATGTAATTCAAAGCAATCCCATGAAATAAAATTAGATGTAATTCAATGCAACAAAACTAGGGATGCACCGAATGTTCGGCAACCGAATAAGCGAAAAGGCCGAATAATGTGTACCGAACAATGACTAACGCGATCAAATAGAGGCATGCACTAATGCAGCAAACATGTCGGCAGTGTGAAAGTATTTAAAACTATCAGAGAAAGACGCAGAAATCATCACAAGCACGAAGCACCGACAGCGAGAGACTGTTTAGTGCTGCATCACGTCCCCAATGAGAAGAAGAGGTGGCTGATGCTGGTGTTTAGGCTACTGTATGATGATTGAAATAGCGAAATGGCCTCAAACGATTAGTAAATAAACTGCAGAATGTTATTGTGACGAGTGCGGTGGGGCCGAGAGCCGTGGGAGCGGAGCAAGGTCGGTGGAGTAAATGATAATGAGCGACACCTGTGCAACTCACCGGTCTCGAGTCCCATGGAGGAGCTCCGGTGAGTGGCGCAGGTGTCGCTCATCATAATTTACTCCACCGGCCTCGCTCCGCTCCCACGGCTCTCGGCCCCGCCCCACTCATCACAGTTTTATATTTTCGTAAGAAATACTACAGAAATTAAAGTAATCAAATTAGATTTGATTACTTTAATTTCTGTAGTCTTCATTGTAAAAACTAAACACAGATTAATGCTTACCATTAAAGTTATAAAACGTATTCAGTCAAGAGCAGAAAATTATTTTCTGTCTTTTGTTCTTTGATTAACATGACAGACAGCAGCATAAATATTGGACCGGTGCGGTCCCTTTAAGAGTTTATCCATGGACCCAATATACTGTTACACAACATGCGTTCTCTATCTCAACTATTTAACGTTCCAAAACTGACCGTGTTTAACTGGATAATCGCTAAGACGGGCATTTTGATAATTATTTATGTATTTGAACATTTTAGCGCAGTTAGCCACTCATTTTGGTATTTGTGGCTCACAAGCTGTTTGAGACTGAGCGTGGCTTGTGCGCTCCAATAATATAGATCAGGGGATCTGTAATGTATTCTAATGTTTTAAAATAATTATCTTCTGCTCAGCAAGGCTGCCTTTATTTGTACAGTAAAAAATACATGCCTGATTCAAGTCTCAAAAATGGCCCAAAAATATTATTTTACTAACTTATTAATTTTATTAATAAGTTAAAGTTTTAAAGTTAAATTGTGCTTTGTTGGTATAATGTCTGCTAGAATGTAAAAAAAAATGTTCAGTGTTAAGTAAATATTTTTAAATTGTTGTTTTGTAATTTAAAAGCAGGGCAAAACAGTAAAAAGCATATTTTGGCTATTTAATTTATGCAATGTTGAAAAAAATGGCAAAATAGGCCTACATGGGGGAAAAAATGCGGAAAAACGGTGTTCGGTATTCGGCCTTCGGCCCAGTGTTTCATTATGTTCGGTTTCGGCCAAGAATTTTAATTTCGGTGCATCCCTAAATAAAATTTAATTCAGTGCAATTGTATAAATGTTTTATAATATGTGATTGCACTACTACAATTTCACAAAATATTTTAACTGCTTCTTACATTTAGATTTTCACTAAATATGAAGGATGCACTAATGAAACATTTCTTTCTTCCCTCAGAATGCAATCGTAGGTTAAATATTTAGCATAATATGGACATATAAAATACAATAAAAAGGACACAGATTCCAGTGGGAACATCCCATAAGAAACACATGGATTAATTCATTGTGATGTGCTGCATTCATACCCATCAAATCTCCTGAACTCGACGAGGTCTTTAATACTATGACGGCTTAAAGTCAAACAATAGGCCCACCATCTCGCACCACTGAAAACCAGAGTTTATGGGTTTAGGAAATCATTAGAAAGGGTTTACAGGCATTAAATCAAGGGATTTCTAACCCTAAAGAAGCAGATCGCACACTGTACCTTCAAGATGATGACTGGATTATAAGCTTGTGAGGTTGAAAAAAAGACCACCACTTTAACCTTTAACTTTTGAAGCACATTATGAAACAGAAACATTCATTAAAGATGGGATTCCTCCAACTAAGATCCTAAAAACACATTTTACTCTACTGGAGCGATCCTCATGATAACCCATCTTTCTAAGGAAGTGAGACTTAAAGGGGTCCTATTATGCTCTTTTACAAAGTCTTGATTTTGTTTTGGGGGTGTACTATAACATGCTCTCATGCTTGGTGGTTCGAAAAACGCATTATTTTTCACAATTTACATTATTAAAATACCTTTCTCCCCATCCTGGCACAAACGGCTCGATTAGTTCCGGCTTTGATAAGGGATTTTTTTTAAACGATATATCTCCCTTTGGAGTGGACTTTGAGATTTGTAACTTTTTTTATGCCCAAACATACACACTACACACTGACTAAAATTAAAAAAGTGAAAAAGCATAATAGGACCCCTTTAATGAAATGCTCATTTGCCCACTTACATCTAAACCTTCTTACAGACATCCTCCGAAATATTCAAAGCCTTTTAAGATGCAGTCAGGGAAGCAGAAATGCATAAATGTTTGAAGGGTCAGAACGCTACAGAATTATATTTGTCTGTAAAGTAAACAGCACAAAATAAGTCCCACTTCTATTTGAAGCAAGCAGTTCTGCCTTCTCTGTTAGGAACCGGCCCGGAGTGCCATTTACCTTCATAAAAAGGGTAATACAATAAAATTTTAATAGTGTATTTCAGAGGACATCAATCAATTAACAGCAATCATAAACTGCAGATTTACAGTCTTTCCCTGTCGACAATTTGGCAAATGTTCTGACACTGATGTTAAAGAGCAGGTCATATGGTTTTCTGAAAAATATCTAATTTGCAGTTTATAAAGTAGCTATCCTTAAATGAAAACAATCTGCAAAGTTGTTAATCATAAAAAGTGCATGATAAATAAAGATATTGTCTCTCAAAAGAGAGAGTCGATTCTGAATCGCTTTAACGAGTCGTCATATTTTTTAATCTTTTGCCTGTTACCAGTATAAGTCACTGGGTAACACATTTGCATAATCCCCGCCTGCCCACGAAATACGAACAGAGTCTGACCTGCCCACAAACACTTCCGCTAGTTAGTGTGTTTACATCATGTTGAGAAGACGCTGTGTTCAAGGATACCACAGAAATACAATTCGAACCTTTTGTTGTGTGCATGTCATTTTATCAAGGACTGCTTCTCTAATCTTGGCTTTTAACTTTGTTGGCTTCTAATCTTCTTCATTTGGACTAACAAGCTCTCGAACCACAACCTGTAAGTACGATTGATACGTTATATGTACATTCTCAATTGAGTGCTCAAAATATCAAGTTTTTGTGCTAATATGTGATGTACACCTAGTGCAGCTTTAGGTTTCCAGGTAAAGCACAATATGACTGTCTTACTGAAGTAGTTCTGATAATTCGCTGTGAACCCACTATTTCCTAAGAATGTGTCGATTAATGTAGACTGTCGTTGTTCTAATTACTTCGTTTAATAATAAAGAATGT